CGAGTTTTCAAACGGGTTATGTTAAGAAATCTTTACAACTGAAGAGGACTAAATTTCACAATAGATTCTCCTCAATCATTAGTCTCTACTGATCACAGACCTTCTATATAATGAACCTCCTAACTAGCTCTAAGAACAAGACCTATCTACTCATAATGGTAAAAAAGACAAAAAAAAAAAAGTAACAAGCTTAAATTGAAACTAAACATTGAACTATGATTACAAGAAAAAAGAGTTAAGGGTTAAGAAAATCTTAGCCAAAAGTGGAAGAAAAACTATCCTCCTCTCTTCAGCTTTCCAATCTTCCTTCAATGTTGAATTACAAATAAGAACCCTAATTAGAAGAAAAATAAAAGAAACTACGCTAACTTATACTACCATTAAAAAAAAAAATACTTTAAGGTGAAAATTGAAATTGTCTTTAGCTTCCACCGAGCCTCTCTCATGGCCCAAGTCGTTTTGCCTTGGTCTATTTATAGAGCCTTGCAAAATCCATTTCAAAATGGGAATAGGATGGTTTTCTCACAGAGTTGAAGTAAAAATATTTTATGAAGAATGATGAACCAACTAGGATAAAAAATAGGAAATTGTTGCCAATTGAGTTACATTTCTATTAGATAAAAAAATCAGGTCATTTGGATAGTTAAATACGGAATTATATCCAAAATATCACTAACTAGTCAGAAGATAACTTTAGAAATTTTCAAAAACATAGCACTGGGAAACTACTACTGTAATTCATACATTTGTTTAGAAAAACATGAAGAATGGACTCAATATCTCATAAAAGTTGTATTACAGGATCTTGACTTTAAAACACATTAAGAATCATCCCAATCGATGTTCATATCTCAAATTATATTTGAAATACAGAGAGATGTCATTCTGGAATTCAAGTCATATTTGGAAATTATCTCCCTTAACTTTTTGAAAGCAGTTTCAATTTGATTTTTTTCTTTCTCCAAACTTCCTAAATATGTATTGGTATGCAAAATACTCCCTTTAATGCTCTTTAAGCTCTTTTAATCATGAATTAGCTCCTTGCTCCAAAACCTATCAAAACACAAGTATTAAACACCACGTTAATTAATTAAACCATTAGTTTTGAATTTTAACTTTAAACCATACTTAAAACACAACAATCCTAAGAAAAACCCTAAAGTGAACAACTTTTACTCATAAATATTCAACAAATAGCCCAAATACACATACAAATCATTCAAAATATGACACTTAATTCAAAAAAAAAAGAGAGAAAATGGCTCTATTTGAAAACATCAGCTTATAAGTAGAATTGTATGATCTTGCTTACAAACTCCATGTGGATTAATTGCATAGTCTTGCTTGTGAAGCATGCAAGTGCATTTGCAAAGTTTTTTGTGTTGAATTAGTTGCATACTTTGTCAAACCTGGATGAAGTTGTTTCTAGGCGATTAGTCACACATTCCACATTCTTAACATTTTTGCAAATGAAAATGGAAAAAATTTCAAATGAAATGAAATTGATCAATCGGAATAAGATTGATTTACTACATGTAATTGGCCCGATTCACCATACACCCACAAGGGGTTAGTGATAATAGAAGACTGCCATTGATTTTTTTTCAATATCTTGTTTTCTTAATTTTCATGAGCTAACCACTTTTGTATAGGCAGTATATCCTCAAAAACATATTCTATTAAATAACAAAAAATTCTCTAGCAAGTTTTTCAAGAAGCTAATTTTTTTTATTAGTTATCTCAATATTGTCATAATTTGGAGGCTTGTGATGTAAAATTATAAGGTGTATGGCCTTGTCAAATTTTTCGTTGTACAGTGGGATGTATGTTTGGCAGTAGCACTTAACATGGTGTTGGTTTGGGTCTGTTTGATAACATAAAAAAGTGCTGAATCTGAATTTTTTCAGACATTTAGATGTTTTGAGTGTTTGATAAATGAAAATCTATTTGCTGAACTTGTTAAGTAGTGCTGAACCTGTGTGTATTTTTTTCAGCACAAGAATCCTAACTGAATGCTTAATTCTGATAAGAATCAATAAAATTACTTCAGCTACCTTATCTTATCTACCAAATCTACCCTTGTTTGTTAATTATGTTCAAAATTCTTATCTAATTAAACAACATAATATTCTCTATCTAACGATTTTTAGTTTCTCTTTTCTCCCTTTTAATGACTTTCACATCTTCTCCATACTCATCATATAATATATTTCATATTTTATATTAATTTGATTTAAAAATAAATATTGTCATTTTCATACCTAACAATTTTAAACTAATTAAATCATAGATTCTATTTCTTTTTTGAATGAAAGGATATAAGGGCAAAATTGTCAAATTAAACTTATTAAGCATTCAGCTATAAATATTTAGCAAACAGTATAAATAGGTTTAGCATTAAAATTCAGACATTCATATATTTTTTTCAGTGCTTAAAATTCAGCAAATTAATTGTTTCAGTATTCAGATTTCAGAATTCAGACTTCAGAATTCAGATTCAGTTTTATCAAACGGAACCTTAGCCTATAAAAGAAAGGGTCCTTTATGAATTTGAACAGGAGGTTGGCTTTGGGAAGAAAGAATCACGAGTTTCTTACAACCTCAAAATTCACCTGCTTATTTGGTGATCCAACAAATTGTAAATGAACTAAAAAGATGGGAAGTAAAATCTACATGTAGTTTGGGATTTGGAGTTCTAAATTTGAAACTTAAAAGACCCTGTAGTTACAAAAATATTTTTTCACTGCTTTGACAAATTTTACTTCGCACCTTGATTTATTGGTTCTTAGGTTTTAACATTTCCAACCAAAAACATGGAAATATGCAAAACAAGCATATCGTGAGATGTACTATTTCAAACCTTTTGCATGGATAAAGCCAGTTCATGTTATACTGTTTGTAATTCTTTTTTGTATTTTGTCCCTTTCTAGATGGAGTATATTTTTAGAATAAAAAGACAATCTACTCATGGAAACCTTTGCAAGATCATGACCTCATGGATTGATTGTCGTTTTCCATTTTTTTCCCTTTCATTTTCTTCCTCAGGTACCAATGCTATTTGAATGTGACCTGTTGAATTGGTTACTATCACTATTGGATTTAGCACTTGTAATGCTTCGGTTTAGGTTGGTTATAAATTAGACTGATGAAAGAAAGTGGTTGAAGTCAAATTGATGAAAGAAAGGTTTAAGATCATGATCTTTATGGAAATGAGAAACTATATTGTAATTATTATCTTTGATAGACATTTGTTCGGATAAAATGTATCATTGATTCAAACTAACAAAAAATTCTCTATATTTTCTTGTGCTCTCTAAATCATCTCAGCTTTCATGTGCATTCATATGATTCAAACATTATGGCTTCAATCAAATGTACATGCTTTGGATAATTTGGTCCATTTAACTGCATTGTGAATGTTATGATAGAAAATTTCTTGTTCAAAATGTATCATTGATCCAAAACAAAAAGAAAAATTCTTCTATAATTTCTTGTGCTCTCTAATTCTTCTCAGCTTTTGTGTGCATTCATACGATTCAAATGCTATGCCTTCAATTCTAAAATTATGAATGTACATAATTTGAATGATTTCATCCTTGCAACTGCCAATTTGTTATATTACTAAGAGGCGGTAAAACCGTGCTATGCATAGTTTTGCATATATTATAGTGCCCAAGATTAAGTGTAATTATGTTAAGAATGGGTTTGGATGTATAAGTGTGTTTTTGTTTTTCCGGATTAAGTAGTAGGAGAATATTTTGGAAGTTTAAACAAGGATTGTTTATTGGGGAAATAATTTCGATTTATATTGAATATATATAGCAGATATGGTGTGTTCAAATTAACAAGTATTTAAATTACATAAGAATAGATTTCTGATAGAGTATTTGGTAAAGAATGATCAAAATATTGAAATCATACAATAGAGAATGGATGGATGGAAACATTTTAACTGAAAAAAGGTGAAAGAAGAAGAATTGTGGAAAAATGCATTGATATTTAAAAAGAATTGTGTTTAATTAATGTGAAAAATTATAGTATATTAAGAATGTGCTCTCATTGAATGCTGTAATTAAAGGTTTGAATGAGTGAATGAATGCTGTGTTTTCTTAAAAAAAAAAGTGCATGATCATGATGACCATTATTCTTAGGAAGTAGTTAGTATGAAATGGCAGCTTCTAAAAGAAAAGTGGGTTCAATAAGATACAATTTTTTGCTGAAGAATGACTTACTCCAAAAGAAAATGACATTAGCACTCTTCTTTAATATTTTCTCCATTTAAAAAAATCAAAAGATAATTCAAAGTTAGTAATAATTTGTTTAGACCAAATAATTTAATAGGGAAAGCATTATTATTTAAAAATTATAATGATAACCATCATGCTATTTTTTAATGAAAAGTAAACAAAAATAATTTACTAAATTAATAATGAAAATGACATTACATTCAATGAAAATGATATAAAACCTAAATTATTTAATTTTGAAACAAACTAATTATTTATATGAAGTAATTTAATCAGAAGGATAAACATTTTGTGGAAACAATAATGCCTCATTTAATAATAAGAATAATATAAACTACACCAAAAACAAACTAATTGTCTAAATATATTAATCACAACAATAAACTTTTTATCCAAATAATTATTGGACATTTAATAATTAATAAGAATAATATAAACGATAATTTTTTTAACGTACACATTAATTCCTTCTATAATACTGTAATTTAATGACGGGAACAAATATTTATTCAAAACTTTACGAATCAAATGATAAATTAATTACATATCCCACATGGGGATTAATTCCTTGTAATAGGTAATTTAATCAAAGGATAAAGATTTATTAATAGCTTTTAATAATAACGAAAAACACAAATACAAGATAATGTAGTGAGAAGCATAATATTAATTCAAAGGCCTTTATGAATGAAATGAGAAATATATCCAGACAGAAATCAATTATGTTGGGACATAAAAAATGGATAAAATACATTCGGTAGGGCAAGACATTTCATTCTCCTTACTAGCTACTTTTATTGATCGCACAACTCCTCCTCGCTTTCTCTTTCTCCGCCACTCCTCCGCCCACAAATCCTCTTTTGCTCCACCAATTCTCCTCCTCTCCCTATCTCCATCCGTATATTTGGCCCCCTCAATTTGAATCGACTCTTCCTTTCTCTCATCTGTGGACAGGAAATGCCTCTGGCAAAGCTCAACGGGGTCTTCGTTCATTATCTCGTAACTTGGTTAGTGTCCTGATTCTTTATGTTTTCACTTTAAATATTTGGTTTCATGTTTATTGAAGTTGACATTGTTTAAATCGAAAATCAAGTTAAAAAATGGTATTAAAACCAATGTTACAAGGACAAGGAGATACAGACCATGCTCTATTCGTTTTTGTGCTTTTTTTGCCCCCTAAAGTGTCATTGCTTCAATTTTTTTGTTAGTGTATTCCTTTTTTTTTTTTAGGTGACTGTATTGGGCCCACATTGCCTATGCCAACCGGTCTTTCGTCAGTAGAACAAGAAAGGCGTTTGTTTGAACGGGAAAGTGGAAGAAATTCTGCCTAAACCAATTGAGACTTGGGAGTAGGAAAAGATGGCTGCGACGCCGAGTGCACCAGCGGGGAGCGCGAACATTGACGGAGTAGCACCCCCAGCTCCACCACTTCCGGGGACGGACATGACCGGAATATGCTTCAGGGACCAGCTATGGCTGAACACCTACCCTCTTGACCGAAACTTAGTCTTCGATTACTTTGCTCTCTCGCCATTCTATGAGTGGACTTGCAACAATGAACAGCTCCGTCTACGCTCCATTCACCCCCTTGATGCCTCCCATCTCTCGTAAGCTTCTTCCTCTCTCTCCGTCTCTGTCTCTGTCTCTCAATCCCGCACTCCCTAACCCATGTCTAGAATAAGTGTTGATAATTTGATTGGCTCTTTAATTGGTTTTGGATGTCATGTTTGGTTGATACGCGGCTTGGTTATTTTAGAATGTACAGATTTTAGTCTGTGGATTCCCTATTTGTTAGTCTTAATATTTGATGGGGAGCTGGGGAATAATTGATGTTAATTATGTTTAAATTGTTGGAGAGAGAAAAGTTGTTTATAAATTGGTTGGTGATTTGAATCAGCGTTGAGGTTTTGTTGGTTAGCTTCTTTTTCTTTCGTTCCTTCCAATTATTCTTTTTCCCTGAGTATCTTTTCCTTTTTTGAATTTGGATGTGAAATTTAAACATGGTCAGCAATGAGTGCCCGGTTGAAGAAGCTAAGTGCATGAGATGTAGATGACCTAGTTAAAAATGATGCTTTTGGCAACTGTATGTTGATTGGTAATTTTATTCCTTATATCTCATTTTATAGTCTAGGAAAGCTTGCAGGTATGAAGCACTATTGATATTTTGAGGAAAAGCAGGGCAATATTTTTAAGTTTAAGCATAACCAGAAGCGGTGAGGAACATGACAAATCCCTTGTATGACTATATAGTGTGCTTGTCGCTATGCAGGAAAATGACGGGTACAGAGTACACCTTAAGTGAAGCTATGGAGCCCCATCTTTTTGTCATCCGTAAACAAAAGAGGGATGGCCCTGAGAAAGTAATCCCGATGCTCACTTATTATGTCCTGGATGGGTCAATATACCAAGCTCCTCAGCTTTGCAATGTGTTTGCATCTCGACTTGTTAGTATCTTTTAGCTATTATCTTGTTTTTTTGTTGGTAAATGTATGAAGCAATGATCTTGCAATTGTGGCAACTTATGCAAATTCATTCATTTGGAAACTGTTCTTGAGTTTCTGTTATCCAGTTGGATGAGATTTTTGATTGGTTTGGACATGTATTCTTCTTTTAACATTTTGTCCTGAGGCTGTGCTTGATAGCGGAGAGTGAAGCGAGGGGGGTAGTGTTCCTTTCCTTTTTCTGAATTATGCAAAAACTGGAAAAAACAAAATCTTTTAGTCACATTTGGTTTGGAGAGCTTGCAAAGATTGGAGCACATAAACTTTCAAGTATCTGCTTTATAAATGGCTATACCTGTGTTTCACTTAAATATTTTGTAGTTTGCTGGCTACCGTGGTGTAATTCTTGATATTACTTGTTCCCAAGTTGATGTTGCAGTTGCACACATTCAGGAACACCTCTGTCATGTTACTCTAGGTTACATATGTTGAGCCCATGCCAGACTTGCCTCTCATGCATTCAGAGTAACTCGCAATTAATTGAAATACAACATTATTTTGTTAATTTGGGCTGTGATTTTTTCCACTGAGAATCTTGCTTCCTATTTTTGGATTTAGTATAGGTTTAAACCACCTGCATGGCGGGATTGGTAGTTCTTGGATAAATTTTTTTCATGTTTTCAGTTGTAATGAATTATGACTGTTTGTTCTTTCTTTTTGTTAGTTATGCAGATTTAGGAATTGCCCTATCCACCTCCCACTATGGAGGTCTCATTCTAGTGTTATGTGTATAGTATATGCCATCTCCATTTGATTCTCTTACGATATAATTTACCATAGCCATTGCACACTATGTAAGCGAGTCATAGCATCCACCCTTTATTCTTTGACTGAGGAGAAGCTACAAGTTATTACTAGTTGCATGTTTTTTCCATTGACTGAGGAAAAGCTACAAGTTTTCAATGTGTCAGTCTGAAATTGTCATAGCATATTATTGTGGATTTTGATTGATGATTTTTAAGTTTGTACTGTATATTGTAACCTTATGAATATATTTATTCTTCCCCCTTTTTCAATACCATCTTAAATCCAGTTGTTTACTCATGTGGCAGGGACGGGCACTGTATCATATATCAAAAGCCTTCAATACTGTAGCCTCAAAATTGGAAAAGATTGGATATGGTATCTTGGCATTTATCTTTCTACATTTGATGGTATAAGATGCTTGTTGTGTTAATCATTTGGAATCTGGAAACTCAGATGGAATAATCAGTATATAATTCTTCTAGGAATCTTTTAGCAATTTACTCCCCTTCTGAGGTCTGAACTATGTCAGCACTGTGGTCTTGCGACACTACAAAATCCTGTGATTAAGTGGCATTAGTGGCTAGATTTTTGCTTAGCTAATCTTTGAAATCGTTCTGCATAATTTTGGCACATATTTTTTAGAATTTAGTAGTAAGTTACCATTTCATCTATTATCTTCACTTTTTCAGTTATAATGGACCTGCTTGGTAGTTTATGGGGATTGCCATTTCCGTTGAATTCTTGTAATGTGTTGATGCAGTTGATGCTGAAAATGAGACAACTGCATCTGAATCAAAGGCTTCTAAAGAGACTATTGACTTCAAAGAAATTAAGCGGGTAGATCACATTCTTGCATCACTACAACGCAAGGTAATCTATGCGTGTTTGAACACAGATTATACATGCCTCATTGTTCATGATAATCACTCGTGTCTAGCTTGAAAGGGATCAGTATGTTAATGGGAATTACAGTTATCTGTAGTGCCTGAACATTTACTTTTATGGCTCTGCTGATGGGGAATGCTAAATGGACATGAAACATTTGCTTCCATGAAAAGCATCTAATGCATAAAATGTGTTGGGCAAATATATTAAATCGGAAAAGTAATTTTTTTAAAAAATTTTGTGTGTTTTGGCAAGATTTGAATATTTCTTCTCTTTTGCAACTGTACTGGTGACTCGTGGTGTTATAGTACTAAAGGAGCACAATGAGTGAGTGAGATGTTAAAAAGTATGAAAACTTAGTTTGACAAACATGGGACTTATGAGGAAAGGATAGAGGAGAGTTGAATAAAAAGAGTGAATATCTATTGTAACAAAAGTTACGGTAACAAGTTTCAGTTGCTTGAATTCAGACTCTTGGCAAGTATCTTGCACCTTAGAAACATATTTTTTAGATTTATGAAAAAGTATTGCAGGTAAATCTCATGACAAACCCTATTTTAAGTTGTAAATGAATAATGCAGCAGACAGATTCTTGTCAGCTTGGTGAAGTTTAGTGTTATAAAAATTTATAGCCATGCTTGTATATGCAATACATCATAAGGCGTTGATACGTTTTTGCTACCATTTAGATTTAAATATGTACAGCAATCTTCTTTGACACACATATTCAACAACATGACTAAACATATTATTCAAGAGTTTTCTTTAGGTTTAAAGCATTTCTAGTACTAAAATGTTGTTTATTCCAATTTTGCAGCTACCAGCAGCCCCTCCAGCACCTGCTTTTCCAGAGGGTTATACTCCCCCAACAACTGCAGAAGGAGAGAAAGGTTCCGAAGACCAACAAGCAGAACTTCAAACAGCTACCTTAGATCCCATTATAGACCAAGGCCCATCTAAAAGGGTGAAATTGTAGAGAGGACACAGACGCATATACCAAAAGCAATCCTAAATTAGTTAGTTTAATCTAGTAAACTATCCTTAACCCTTCATATTAACTGTAGTTTTGCTCCTCACGCATTCACACGCGCATGCAGGCACACACTTCTTCCTCTTCACGTGTGATATTTGGTACAAGAGTACCAGAGATTGGTGCCACCAAGAAGAGTACTTCTGTAAGATAATATTAGATGATATGTTATTATTTATCAATTTATTTGACTATGTTTTTGAAATGCGCCTTCAGACCATGGTGGATTATTTGAATTTGTCTTTGCTGAAATATGTTGAAGTATCACTTTCCGGGGATGCTGGGCTGGTGCAACTGTGCAAGGTATTAGGGTTACATTTGTTCCCATGCAACTATAAAACGTGGTAACTGTCTTTTTTTTTTCCTTTAATAAAACTAGGAGGTGAAAACCATGCTGCGCATAGTTTGAGGATTATAAAGTGTCCACCAAAGAGAAATTATGTGCCGTTAAATTAAAAAGGGTGGAAAAAATCGAAGAATAATGATTGGAGTGATAATGCATTTAGACAAACAGGGAATGAAGAGGAAAAATCAGACGCTTGCCTCCAAAATCCTGGCAGAGTGCTCTATTTCAGCAAAGAATTACTTTTACTAGGGGTGTCAATTTTCGACACGACCTGAAAACACGACACGAACCTAATACGAAATTAATGGGTTTGGGTTGAGGTTTCGGGAATTCGGGTCAGAATCGGGTTGGACCCGATGAACCCGAAAAGAAAACAGGTCGATTTCAGGTCAACCCGTGGTGACCTGATATGACCCGATATGACCCGTTTACGAATTAAAAATAATTTAATAAACATAAAAATAATTTTATCTAACTAAACTAAGTTATTCTTTTTTTCAAAGGCATTAATTACTTAATCCTAAATGAATTTATTTAATTTGTGTGAAGTTGAAATTATTATATTTGGACAAATAATATATTATATTATTTTTTACTTTTATATTGTTTTAATTTATTTTATATTTTGTTTGGGATAAAACACTTTTACGGTGTTTAATTTATTTTAGATTTGGTTTGGAATTATTTATTTAAATTTTTATTACTTGATTATGTAATTAGTTTTGTGAGAAATTGATTTTATTAGAAATTACAGTGATAAATTAATAAATTAAAATTAAGTTTCGGGTCATTTCGGGTCGACCCGCCAACCCGTCAACCTGAAATTATCGGGTTCGGGTCAGCATACCTGACCCGTAACGGGTTGGCGGGTCGGGTTCGGGTCAACAGATTTTTTGGCGGGTTGACCCGAACCCGACCCGCCAACCTGATTTGACCCGAATTGCCACCCCTAACTTTTACCATGAAGCAATGGTGCAGAAAACAGCTACTTCAACAGAAAAATTTATTTTGTCGATGATATTATCACAAAAGAAATTATTCATTGCATTCTATATATCAGTTCGAGAACCAAATAAGCCAAGTCATGTTTTTCAAACATTCAGAGGTTGATTGTGATGCCAGTCAGAGAATGTCTATTATTTGTTTGTGAAGAGGCTATCTACCTCCTATCCAAAAAAAAAAAGAGGCTTTGCAAGTAAAAGACTCAATACTTCTATTTATACAAAAAATTAGCTATCCAAAAACTTAGAGTGATAATGCATTTACTTTTACATAAAGAACACCAAGTATTCATCATGTTTACTTCAAATTAAACAAAGCGAGACCTGCTACTTGTACATCATTAGCTTTCGATACTTGTAAACTCTTTCTGTTGGGCGGTAAAGGATGGCTCGTAGAAGAAAACTCGCATGGCAGACGATGTTCCAACGTAGTATGAATGCACATCCTCATCGAACGGCATCATGGATATCACATAAGCACCAACTTTAGGGTGTTCAAACATCATGAATATCCAACAAGCTCAATGCACAGCGATCGCACGAGGACTTCCAATAGGTAGTAGCTAGTTGGCGAAAAAGGAGACATACTTCTGCACTACCAACTTGAGAATAAGGACTTTCAAGCACAGTTTTCTCAATGAACTAATGAGCAAAACTTACATTACCAAACATTATGATGAAATAGTTTTATGGTGAATTCAAGAATAATTTTCATAAGCTGAGCCAATCCAGAGAAGCACAAATACAAGTGCAAGTGTGAGTGTGTGTGTGCGTGCGTGTGTATCAATACACCTTACGTCAACTGCATTGATAAATATTGCAACAAATTCACCCCCAAACTTAAAATATGAACCAAGACCAAGCAATAATGTCTATTTTCTCAAATTCACAGTAATATCCAAAGCCACATAGTTTGACAAAAATAATACAGCTGCAGATTAAAAAGCAAACTGTGAATAGCACATAATTCCCAGACTATTCTCCCTCACTCAATTGATTAATCATCACTTCCTCTATGCAGCAAACGTACATACATTTTAGTTCAAACTGCGAACATTTTAGTCCAAGATTAGAACACACACACACACACACACATCTTTCCCTAAGCAAAGATTATTACACAACGTAAGAAATGTCAACTTGCTATACCTCAATCAATCCTTCAATAGCAATCAAATTTTAACTTTGAGCAAAATTTGTAAAACGGGAAAAAAAAAGAAAAAATACAAAATGAAAAACCAGAACTTTATTGACTCACCTGATAATCAGAATTCTAAAACACAAAATTCCTAGGCTTTTGCACATGCAAGAACCCCTCACTCGGAGTCAAGAAACCAGCCAAAATCCTCAACTTTAACAACTGAAAATACAAATAACAAAAACAAAAGACCACAAATTTTTTGTACACATTCTTGGCCTCAGATGCATGTGGAGCTGCTTATGACAGTTTAAAGTAAGGCTTATGTCTGTTATCAAAAGTCAGGCAGAGATGAGGGTATCGCCATGGCTGCAGATCCAGTTGCATTTGAAGGGGAAAAATGAACCTTAAATGCCATCAGGGTTGCCTTGCCAAGATACGGCAATCAACTTAAAGCCTAAGATGCATCTAAAAAAACTAAAATTGTATCGTCATATTGCAAAAAACCTATGATGTTCCTTATTTCTCCCTGTTTTGATTCTAAAATCTTCTAACTAATGTCTTGAATTTTCGTGGCACTATACTTTTATTATTATCTAAAACTAGTGGTCTTAAATTGTCCAATAAATCTGAAAGTTGTCATTAAAATCAATCAGTAGCTAAAAGACAACAAAATGAACTCCATTTAGGATATGATTCCTTTTCCAAAAAGAACAATTTTTGTTTTTTGTTTCCAACAAATTTCAGAAGTGAAAAAGAATGTGAGAAATAGTCCACTATTGAATACACATAGATACAACTAAGACGTTAAAAAATGGAGCAGCAAAGCAGTCATTTTGCAATATTAAGCAGGCCAACTAACTCAAGTAGAGTTTATTAAAACCTGAACATAAGAAGTACAAAAGATGGAGAATCAAGACCAATGAAGACATAAATGATGGAAAAGGAGCCTGAAAATATGCTTTCTCGTTATCCCTGAAGCATGTTTTGATCAATTTCAAGTGGATTCAGAGCTTTTGACATCACACCTAATTCCTCCTGCAGAAAACTTGCATACATACACACTCATCATCTCCTTTTGATAGTAGATTGTCAGCAGATGGAGGAAAAGTACAGCAATAGAGAACATTTTCTTACAGGCCAAACATTTTCAACTGCCCAGATACCAACGGAACAGATTAATTCTTCAATGCAGCCTAACTACAACTTACATTACAAAAGCTCCACCAATACCTATAGTGGAAGCGTACTCCGCGTCCATCTGCAGTGAATTGTTCTGATAGCAGCAAAGGCTTAACTTTACTCTTCATCTTCGATATTTTTTTGTTCTAACTGGAGTCCCCCACGTCCCTGATATTGGTTTAGAATGAAGCGAGGAAGTCTTTCACACCAGCCTTTGATGTAGCGTAGCAAGGATAACGTGGGTGGCTTCATTTTATAAGCTAGTGGCAGAGGGAATTCATTGGCTCGACCAAAGCAAAGTCTTAGGCTTAGGAGGAGAATCCGTCATAAAGTGAAAGATCAGACCACGAGAATATAACTATAAATGGAGAAAGAAACAGAAACAGAAAAAATACTCACCCATGGCACAATTTTCTGGTCTCTTCAAATGTTCAGATTTATAGCGATTTGCAGTTGACAAGCTGGCAATAAGTGACCTGCATAGGTTTTCGTTTGTATTCTTATCAATCCAGTCTGATAATTATAGTCTAAACTTCAAGAAAGAAATGAATAGGACATCTGCTAACTATCAAATCAGGCACACGCATGACAGCTATGAAGAGATAATCTAAAGATGGGGAAGAAGATTCTTTAGTTTTTCTTTCTGTTGAGTACGGGAGCAGATATGTCAAGAAGAAAAAGAAGAAGAAAAGAGAATCTATTACCTCTGCAAAAACTTGTAACAATCCAAATAAAACATTACCTATGCTAAAAAAAGGACATAACTGCAGGGAAAAAAAATCTGAGTCAGGCAAACTGTCCTTAAGCAAATTAAAGAGCCCAAGACTTGAAATTCATCTGATATTGCAGAAGATTACCAACTATATAAAATTAAAACGAACTAATTGAACATTTGCCTAAATGATTGAACAAAATGCCAAAAAACTGATGAAAAAATAGTATGCAAATATGCTGTTATCTAGAACAATGTACAGACAATTTCTTTATAAACTGAACTTCTGTGGTGGAATTGTATAAACTCAAAAGGTACTCGGTAAACTACTGAAATTCACAATTAAACAACATATAGCAATCCGAGAAATGGGGAAATTTTCAAAAGGAAGAATTTTTGTATAGAACAAAAGCAAAAGTGCCAGACTTACCGCCGTGATGAAGCTCTGAACTCTTTACCCCTCTCAAGAAAATTCTGTAGTGTTTCTTTTTGCTGGTAATTGATTGAATTAAGTGCCTGAAAAGTGAAGAAGAAGTTTGGGCAGCTGAATGTTTTAGTCATCAACAGGTAATAAAAGTCATAAAAATGAAAGTTAAAGAACATGTAAAGCTCCATGGATCTGGTCCGCACAAAATACAGAAACACAAGGAGGTAGTAGAATTGAATGCTTATCCTCAAACACCAATTCGTTTGTTCCTTCATTGACTTGGATGATGTTACTCTGAACAGAATCCAACATCATTCCAAACCTGCTTAATGAAGATTCGATCATTACAATCCTGTGCTCAAGTTCTTCAATAATCTGGCCTGATCAAGCAAGTAAAATACCGGAAACTTAGAAGAAAAAACTTGTATATCCTGGAAAACAAGCATGTTTGGACAACTTGCAATATAAAGTTGCTTATATTCTCATATCCAATTGAAAGTCCAAAGGGGAAGGCAGAATCTTCAGAACAAAATTGTTCTTTCAAAGTTGATAATACTATTTAATTGATTTATTCAAAAAAGAATTTTAGAATTAGAATAAGTGTATGGGTGATGACCTAGAAAAATTATTTTCTCACTTCTCAACTATTTGCATTTCTATTTAAATTATATTTGTGTAAAATTTGCATTCATTTAGTGATTTACTTGTTAAGTGATAAATGAGTTTCTCTTGCTTGTTTATTTTAACTTTCGAGTGATTAATTTCTTTAAAATTGTTGATTTCATGACTTATTAGGGAATTTGGTCGAAACCCTAGGAGAATATAAGTTGAGATATTAGTGAAGTTAAGAAAAATTTTGAGAGTTAAAAGAAGGTTAGAAAAGTTAAGGATTGATAGCAAGAAATTTAAGTGGAAAACACTATTTAGGACACTATTCATAGTTGACTTAAAAACCTTTCTTGTGGCTAGTATTTTAGCTCAAAAGCAACCAAAATTCCTTCATTTTCTCCTCTTGGTTAGCTGAAAATTTGAGAGAGGGAGAGAGAGAGAGAAACTTCACTCTTTTTGAAATTCTTGAAAATTCAAACTTCCCTTTCACCAATCTACTTGAACTATTGGAAGATCTTGAGAGAAAAAGACTCTTAGGAGTGGATCTTGCCATCTTCTTAGGTTAATTTTGCTAGAGTTTGGAGCTTTGAAGAGGAAAGTGGCTAATCTACTTTATTATTTTGCTTTTCAAGTAATTTTGAACTAGATCTTGATAGATTTATAGTATTTATGGAAAACTTATGGTGGATTTGAAAGTTTTATGAAAATTTGGTATTAAATGCTTTAATGATCTTGGTATGCTTAAATCTTGATATATTTGGCTAGAATTTGGTGGATTCTTGTTTCTTGAGATCCTAGAGTTAATGATAGATGAAACCCTTGAGGATTGAGTGTGATTTATGGTGAATTGTTGGTGAAAATTGGAGTATATATATGCTGAAATTTCTATTTAGATGGCCAATTATCATGGGCAAAATTTTAGCTTTACCTTCCTTAAATTTGTGGTTTGTTTGTACACTTATGCTGGAAAAATTTTAGGAAATTTGATGCTACTTGACTCTATGTATGTTGGTTGAAATATGTTGAAAATTTTGTAAGAAAATGAAGTCGTGATGTGGGTTATCTTATTGGAAAAAGTAAAGTTGCAAAAGTTGGAAAAATGGCCTAAGCTGGCCGAAATTGTGAGCTAAAACTCCAGGTTTAATTTTCTATTTTAAAAACTGTTTTGGATGGAATTTAACTCAAAAGGTTCTATTGGACTTTGATCTTGGTTTGTATAATGATTTTGAATCAAAATTTTGAAGTTAAAAGGGGGAAAAGTAAGATTTCCTCCAAAGTTTAGTGATTAACAACTTTATGGACTGATTTGACTTTGGATCCTTATTTTTATGAAATTTTAATTGGTTTAGTTCAAGAAATCTTATTTAACTTTGATCCTTGTTTGTGAGATGATCTTGGGACAAAAACTACGAATGCAAATAATTGAAAAGTGGACTTTGCTATGATTTGCTTGCTAGAAAACTATTGGAGGGTTGGAAAGTCTTGTCCAAACTTTTGAAATACTTTTGCCCTAATGAAAAGTGGTATTCTTTTACCTGAATTGTTGATTTGAAAGTTTGAATGGGTTGAAGTGTTTAGGACACTAAAGTTGACTAATTTGAAAACAAAGTTTTCGTGCTTAAGTGAGTTAATTTGGTGAACACTAAAGGTTCATTTATATGTTGTATTTGTCTGTCAGGGTTGCAAACTGAACGTGCAGGCGATCCTTCTGTGGATGCTTAGGAGCCATTTCGTGAGTGTTCTAAGTGCATGGTAGCACTCTATATATGCTTGATATGTCAATGAGTTTGAGAAAAATGATATGACTATGAACTGTCATTTTGAACTTGTTTATGAACGGACGAGTGTGCACTTTATCACACTCGATCCTACTGAATTGTTATTGCTATAAGTGAATGTGATATGATATTATTGATATATGGGGCTCCAAAGCCCAATGGCTAGTTATTCGAGATTGAACCGGCAAGGGCTTGGTCAACTCGATTAGCGAATCTTGAGTAGTGTATATGTGTTGGATCTATACTGTACTGAATATACTCGAGTAATACCAATCACTGAAATTATGTTGGTGTGCGGGCTCGGTAGGGGGTGAAAAGTGGACAGAGTGGTGTGAAGTGGCGATTCTACATAGATATGAAAGTTGATGGAGTGTCAACTACTTGAATTACTTATTGATCGAGTGTTTGCCAGTGCTCAATATCCTTAATGATTGACATATCGATTTTTTTTGTATGATGTGCTTATATAATACCTCTTGGTTATGTTTCTTGTTGACTTAAATATGTGAAATAATTGTTTTCTTAAACTGCATGCCTTTCTTAGACCTCAATGGGCGCAAGCTCATATCTTTCCATTTGTTTTCCTTAGCAGGATTAATTCGAGATTCAGGGAATTATCACTTAGTTTTGTTTTAGTTAGACTAAGTGATTAGGGTACTATATTATTTTGAAGGTGAATTGTAAGCTTAGACTATCTTTTGTATTTTAAGTTATTTCGACAGACAACTGTATGTATTAGTTGTATTTAGCGTATTTTGTGGTAAGATTGGATATTGAGTTTGATTTTATGGTTTGTTAACGAATCTCGACGAGAGTTGGGCAAGCGACCCGCTGATACCTTAGGATACACCCTTGGGAGAAGTGGGGTCATCACAGTTGGTATCAAAGCCTAGGTTTCGGCGTAATCTGGGCCGAATAGGGAATCTTATAGATATGAAGTAATAGGAGTACTAGAATGACTTGTTAAGTTGGGAATTGGTTAACTATTGACTTTTAAGTGCTAGGGTTTAAACTTGGTAGGTAAGCCTAAATTTCTTCTTCTGTTGTCATATAGGACATGAAGGGAGGGAACAATGGTAATGACGATCTAGTAAGACCAAATCGAGTCATTACTTATCGAGAGAGACCAGGGGGGATCTCTCCTGCGTTGGGGACCTGGGCGTCGGATTCAACCTTGTGATTGTTAGAGGATCTACTCATAGCCTGACTGAATAGCCCTAATTGTAGATGATGAGAGGAGAAGGTTAACTGGAGCCAACCGTCATGCTCAGATTGAGATTCAGAGGATGGAGGCATTATGAGAATGCAGGCTGATAGGATTCAGGAGCTTCGGGAGGATATACTGATGGAGCAGCAGAGAACGAATGTTTTTAGAGAGCAGCTGCAAGCAGTTAATGGCCGCCTCACTAGGGTGGTTAGAGAGGTCAGGAACTGAGTTGGGGATATCATTAACGAGTGTGGAGCACTACTCCAGGGGGTGATTGGCTCTAATGCACTTGTGGAGGGTCAGGGCGACGGAGCCCCTAGAGAGGGAGATGCAGCTAGTTCTACTCATGAGAGAGAGTCTGTTGGCTCTATTATGGTCCAGGATAGCGCACTTTGAAAGTTCTTACTTTTTGTGTATAGGGAATAGTCAATAGATAGGGTTTCTTTTGATATTATTGTCCTCTTGATGAGGTTTGGATACTGTATTTTGTGTATTCTGGCCTATTTCCCCTGACTTGAAAAATTTTATGAAATCTTTTGGTCTGATGTACATGTCTATGACTTGTTATCATGAATGAAATGTTTATTTCACTTTTAATTGGCGTTATAGCTTGTACATGTAGTTAAATTTTGTTTATGCATGTTTAGACTTGTTAATTGGCGTTATAGCTTGTACATGTAGTTAAATTTTGTTTATGCATGTTTAGACTTGTATTAAAGCCATGGAAGGTCAAGGTCGAGGTCGAGATCGTGGTGGAGAACAAAAACAACCCCAAGAGCAAAGGGGTGACCAATGATCTGTAGTTGATCAAAATCGGGGGCTAAGGGCTAAAGTAGGTGACCAAGTGGTTACGACCATCAACCGAATGACTGACCTTTTGGAGAGGATAGTGGATAGGCAGGGTCAAGAACCCATGATTCAACTAGAGGGTCTTGAGGAAGGAGTAGACAGAGCTTTAGAACAATTCCAAAAATTTTTGCCACCTAATTTCTTGGGAGGGCCTGACCCTGAGATAGCTGAGAGTTTGCTCGAAAGGATGATAGATATCTTTGCTATCTTAAATTACACTAAAGAGCGGCAAGTGTCCTTTGCCGTTTTTCAATTTGAGGGAGCGGCTCGATCTTGATGGAATGTTGTGAGAATTAAGTGGGAGAGAAATTAGACCCCTTGAATTTGGGTAAATTTCGTGAGAGAGTTTAACAAGAAGTATCTTTTTCCTTTGATTCAAGAGAAAAGAGAGGATGACTTTATAAGACTTCGACAAGGCAATTTAAGTGTGACGGAGTATGAGACTCAATTTACTAGACTTTCAAAATTTGCTCCGGAATTGGTCATGACTAAGCAGAAAAGGATAAGGAAATTTGTACAAGGGCTAACTATAGAGATCTAGGAGGCTCTAGCAGCAGATCAGATTGTTACCTTCATCGAAACATTAGAAAAGGCTCAGAGGGTCGAGAGTGCAAGGGTTTAAGTCAAAACCTTTCAAGCGAGAAAAAGGAATATACCGAGTGGCAAATTAGGGCAAACCAGTAAGAGCATGCCACCTTCTAAGGCTGACAGAGGGACCGGTGGAGTTAGAATGTTAGAGCCACCTAGAGTGACTCCAATGAGAAGAGACCTAAGTGGTTTGAGACAGTCAAAGAATACCTCACAAGGAGGCTAGGGAGTAACCTCTCATGCACCTTATGGTTATTGTGGGAAGTCAAGTCATGTTAAGAGCAATTTTTGGAGAAAAGGAAAAAAGTGTTTATGCTATGAAAATGCCGAGCATCAGATTTCTAATTGCCCGCTCATGTTTTCAGAAGGAAGTAACATTCAACGATCAGATAAACCTGCTATTAAGCCAATGAGTTCAGAAGGGGATAGACCTAAAGTGCCGACTAGGGTTTATGCCTTGGATCATTAACAAATCCCTAACTCGACTAAGGTTATAGAAGGTATGATCCCTGTATTCCATCGTTTAGTTAAGGTTTTAATAGAC